AATATTGATTATGCAGGGGAGGACAAAGACCGTTTATGAAGATTTTATATTAAAGGTAACCCTTTTGTTTCACGGAAGTAATTCTTTCCTCAAAAATTAATCGTTCATTTTTCAAATAGACAAAGTTTCTAAAACTTATAAAACTTATATATGTTATTATTTTATATAGTTTTGACTCTCGCCCCCTCCACATTTTTTATATCTTTGTCTGTTAAGAAGGATAATATAGAGTGGTTTTTAAGGAGAGAAAAAGAAGGAAATAATATGGTTATATATTAATTTATGCCACATCCTGCCAAACCATTATTAGTTAAATGTTTTCGTTGTAAAGAATGATTTTTAATCAAATATGTTCCTTATAGTGGGGGATTTAGTTTAAAAAATGATTGAGACTATTGAACTAATAATAAAAAAAATAATAAAAAAAATAATAAAAAAAATAATAAAATCTGTAATCCCTGTTTGGAAAAATTATACCTAAATAAAGAACATAATAAAACTATCCCTGATCCTAAACTTCGCCAAGTATTAAGGGTTTACATGGCTCGGTCAAATGTTTATTTACATCCCAAATAAAAAATAACATATAAAATAAGAAATATAGTTAAAAAATTTAAGTAAAATAAATATATGAAAGACAAAAATGTATTAACACATAAAAACGAGAAAATAACTGAAAGGGCTATTTTTGGTGAATTATACCAAGTTCGTAAGATTAATAATTTAGTTCATAAGTTAACTTTCACTATTCAGAAAAACAAGGAGTTAGTAATTGATAATTATCCCCATTTGGAATGAGAGTTGAGTTATTTAAAAAAGCAATTAGAAACCATAAAAACTGAAAATAAAGGTAAAGAAAACTAATGAATAAAAACGAGAAAATAATAAGAAAACATCTAAACGAAATACTGCAAAAATATTGAGGGAAAATAAATATACACGAGAGAATGCGAAAGAAATTATGAAGGGATTGTTATTTGTTAAGATGGATGCCTTATGTTAAAGGAGCGAAGGAAATGGATTATCATCGCTTAGAAACTATTATGAAATATTATAGATACTCAGATGTCAGATAAATCAAAGAAATTTTGTAAGCAATGTAAGGAAGAGGTTGGAGAAGGCAAAGAGGTGAAAATAAAAAAAACTCTCAAAGTTGGAAGTAGTTCGAATTACCGTGGTAAGTATAGTGGATGGTCAAGCTCCAAGTGACCAATTAAAACAGCGTCTTATTATCTCTGTCCGAATTGCTATGATAAGTTGGAACAAGAATTAGCAAGTAAAAAAGAGAGTTATGCTTGGGCTTGGATTTTGGGAGGAACTGTTGTTTTGGTGATAATTATTGTAGCTGCTGTCAGTTATTATTTAACAAGAAAAGAGGAAAAAAGATATGAATATTAAAAACAAGAATATAAATATTGAATAATAATGAAATAATAAGTCTATACGACCATTTTAAGTCTGTGATTGATGACAATCCTAATATTTGTCGGAGCATACTCAATGAATTTATCTCTTTTGGATTGTGTCGAGATTGTCGAAAAGAAAATAAAAAAGATTGTGTTAGATGCCCAAAAGAATTATCAATAGTTGGTTCTCCTTATTATCCAGCCATCGAAAAACAGCACGATGAAAGAGTATTATTAGTAAAGCAAGAAGTAAGTAATTTAAAGAAAGAGAGTTTTAGTAAATTATGAAAAAACAAAACAAATTAAAATAGTTACTCCAATTAAAGATCAAAAAAAGAAAAAATAATATCAAAAAAACTTTCCACAAAATAGGACAGAAGGAGGAAATTAAGACCGAAAATATTAATAACTTTCCACTTAATCAGAAAATAATTAGTAAAGAATAATCTAAGTGGTGTAAAATTTAAATAAGGAATGACAAAAAACTTAACCATCTTACCAACTAACCAATTATTAACTCAAGTTTGGGATTATATCATTAGTCGATCCAGTAAAAGAGGCGAACACAAAAAAGAAGTAATCGAAGGTTTATATTTGCTGGGCTGGAAAGTCGGTTTAAGAATTAGCGAAGCCCTTAATTTTGATTTAAGTTTAGAGCATGGGGAAACTCAATATAAAAATCTCTATTTACTGAGAGGCAAAGGTAAAAAAGAAAGGTGAGTGTATGTGGGGGAAGAAATAGTTAGAGAATTAAAAAAGCGTGATTGAAAACCTAATCAGACTAATCGTTTTACTTTTAGCAAGTTTTTAGAGCAAGTAAAAAAGGAGATGAATATCGCGGAGAATATTGAATTATCCCCTCATACTCTTCGAAGATGCTTTGCTACTTACCAAGCCATTTCAGGAATGCCTTTGCCGGTGTTGCAGAAAGTATTAGGACACTCTAAAATCTCTAC